ATTTACAAACGTTTAAAAGCAGACAAAAGCTTTTATAGGAATCAAAATGGAAATTACTTAAAAAAATATTAACTTAAAAAAAAGTGAACGAAAAAAAGACTGCACACAAGTTATCTCCCTTATCTATGGTAATTTTCATAACATGAATAAAGTTATTAGCTAATCTTTTCCTGAAATAAATGTTTAGAACATGAATAATAAATTTAAAAAAAGAAAATCTTCAAAATAATCCTTTAAATTATACTTTGACTTACCTGCTATTCTAGAAAAAGAGTTAGTGATTTAACCTCAAGAAGAAAGTCAGAACACTTAGTAAAGAATGGTTAACTAGATGAGCTTGTTAACCATTGCTCCATAATGAAGCAACAAAATGTTTGCTTCATGAGTTTCTCTAGAACAATTTAATGCATTCATTAAAATCCTGAGTATTTCAACACTTGCTGAAGGCCATCTATATTTTTGTTAGGGTTACAATTAGAAATGACTATAAAAAGATGATTTATGGTTCATTTTGGTAAGTAAAATTCAATTTATTAAACTATAAATGAGTATTACTGATGTGCAGCATTAGTTCAGGCACTAATGGATAAAGGGTAATCAAGTCTTACTTTGCTGTGATGGCTTCATCTGGCTCAATGGTAAAGCACACTTAGCTTGAAAGTGGTTTTTAAGATTAAAAAGAGGATACATACACGATTTGTATTGGAAAGTATATTTTCTTTAATAAAGGTTTTAAAAATGTCTTGGCCAGTATATATCTACCATAATTTTTTTGATCAATTCACCCCAAGCAAGGCAATAATGCCATTAAGATGCAAGGGCTAATGAAACTGAAAGAGAATGAAAAAAAAAAAAAAAAAAAAAAAAAAAAAAAAAAACTTTAGAAGGAATGAGAAACCCAATTCTAAACAAAAAAAAAAGAGGGGGTGGGGATAAACTTCTACTCCTGTTCAAAAGACTGGGGAGGAGTGTGAACTGGCCAATAGGCAAACCTATCTACTCCAACTGAGAAAAGAGAAAAAAATAATTAGTAAATAAAATGTCAGAGTTCAAATGGAGATGTTAGAAGTATAGAGTTGATGTAGACTTTCGAAGAAACCAGAAATTCAACCCTAAACAAGAAACAAGGCATAAACCTCTACTCCTATTCAAAAGTCTGGAGAGGAGTGTTAACAGTTTATCCAAATGATAAAAATTAACTCTTTAGAGAAAGGGGAGGTCTACTTAAATGTGTGTAATCATTAAATGTAACATTTATAGTAATAATATATCTCAAAACATTGGTTATAGTTGTTACAACAGCTACTTAATGGGCCTTAAATAAAAGTGTGTAATTGATGTACATATCTGTTAGAAGCAATATGCAACAAGATATACATGTGTTCTGTGGCAGTAAATGTGTTGAGTTAAAAGAAAGTCTTATAACGTATAAATTCAAAATAACCTAAAATGACAACTTCATAAAGAGAAAGAAATTCTGTTTTGGTATTTAAAATTGAAGTCCTAACAATTATTAAATAATGATAGAAGCTAAAAGTGCTTTGTGCAAGAATAATTTTGCAATCAACCACAATGCAGAGTGTTGGATGTAAAAAAAGCCAATGCAAAGTAATACTGAATATATTTGAGATTTCAGTTTCTCCTTAATTTTTTTTGCATATTGCTTCCAATGATAAAATATTAACGGTTGATGGCTGAGGTGTCATTTTTGACACCTTCAAATTTTCAACAAATTACTATGGAATAACTAGTTTTGGTTTGATGCTGAGGCTTATGGACAATTATTGAATTTTAGCAAAAATGCTTAACAGACTTAATTCTTTAAAAAAATATTCAACGGAATAGCTGATATTTGAGGTTTTACCTTGAATGGCAGAGGTGTCGTTTTTGACACCTAGGCTATTTATAGGGTAAATTCATTGAAAAATTTCTCACAAGCAATAATACTTGTGTTTATGTCCCCTATCTATCTCTCTCTCTCTATATATATATATATATATATATATATATATATATATATATATATATAATATATATATTCACTTTTCATATACTAATATTTGTGAATTTCTTTTTAGACTTGTTATTCCTGACTTGAATATTGAATATATTAAAGATGGCTGCTTCACGGCGTAATGTAAATAAAGATGTCAAAGGAGCTGGCCATCCTTGTGTTAAGCATATTCAAATTTTTTGTGTTTAAACAGTTGATGCTATGAAGCAATTTCTTATACAAAAATCTTAAGTAAATATTATGCAACTTTATTTGTACAAAGAAAATTTCCCCAAAGAAAAACAACGTTGTCTCATTCTAGAGAATTTCAGATGAACAGTTTGTAAACAAAGAACATTCCACTTATCCATTTCCTTCTGGAGAAAGATTGCGGGGACTATTATACTAACAACATAAAGAAAGTTAAATAGTAAAAAAAGAAAAAAAATCTTGACTAATTATATAGACTTTTTTTTTTCTAGGTGATTTGGTGAAACAGTTTAATTTAATTATAAACATTAACAAGCTGGCAAAGTTTAACCTTAGGACCCACATAAAAAATTAAAAAAAAAAGTATCAAAAAACTTTTTTTTTCCTCTTAATACTTCTATTACTGCATACTATTTTGACTCCCTCGGCAATGTTTTTTTTGTTTTAAAACATTATATTTATAATTTTAATGAAAAAAATCTTACACACTATTTAGTTATTAGATTATTTAATTTTATATTTACAAGATATGTGAAGTGGCTACAATGAAATATTTATTATCTGTCATTTTATAAAGAAATATGAAAAAAAAAAATTTTTATTCAAAAATGTCTGAACTATAAAACAAGAAAATTTAAATAAAGTTAAGATTTTTCTAGTCATACATTTTCTTTTCAGATTAAAGACATTTTGTAATTCGACACAAGGAAAACTGTTGTCCACCCAATGACATGCACAAAATTTTGAGTGTTTGTGGTTCTGGCTAAAATCTAAAATTAAAAGAAATGTTCAGAAAATTTTTAATATAGTTACTTGTTATGAACACATCTTTTATAAATCTGAATAAGTATTTATATTTATAAAATGGAAATAATAAAAATTCCACTTGAGTTGGTTCACATATTTTTAAATTTTGTAAATTTTTATAAATTTGTGAATAAAAAAATTCATTTCCATATTTATTTCTTTATAAATTGGTAAATGATAAATATTGCTTTGTAGTCGATTCACATATTTTTATAATCTTGTAAATATAAAATGAGTCTTGTAAATAAATAATCTAACAACTAAATAATGTACAGTGTAACCCGGATATAAGAGAGTTGTCGGAACCGGAGAAGAAGTCTCTTATATCCGGGTTTGGTCTATTTTATATACATTAATACAGGCTCTAATTTGGGACCAGAGAAAATCTCTCTTATATCCGGGTCACACTGTATAACATTTTTGTTATTAAAATTCTAAACAGCTTTTTAAAACAAACATTGATAAAGGATTTGAGGTGGTATATAGTAAAAGCAATGTAAAGAGGAAAAAAATTAAAAAAACTAAACAAAAATGGCCTTTTGACAAATTTTTTTTTTTTTTTTTGTGGGTCCAAAGTTTAAACATTGCCAACAATTGTATTATTTTTATGAGAAGAATTATTTATAAATTAAACTACAAAAATAATTGTCATCCTCAAAAATAAATGTTGGCAAGTTATCCTCATAAAAGCAAACAAAATGAAAATTATCAAAAATTATCAGACATTATGCATTTAACAAAATTTATTCTTATCTTTCTAATCACTGAAGAAGCAAATGTGAAAACATTCTGCATTGATCAAATACTTAGCGTTAAGGCTGGCTGAAATTTATATAAACTTATTCTGAAAACAGTTTTTCAAGAAACTGAACCCCTGAAATTCTCCCTAATTGCTCTTTGTACTATCAATGGCAGTTTCCTTCCAAACCTTTTGTTTAAGGCATTATGGAAAGTTAACTGCTTGATTATATCATTTTCTCTGCTAGCTGTGCTTTCAGCTGTTGGAAATGTTCAAGTGATGTGGTTTTGTTATTTCATAAAGCTCTTCATTTGTCATTTTTGTAGCACCAGTCTACAGAGTCTGATGAAGAATAGTCTTTAGGATTTATAGGATTTATTCTTTTGAAACCATTTTAATCACTGATCTAAAAAAAAAAAATGGATTTATACAGATAACAGTTTAAACATTTCTCAAGGAGGTGGATGCCACTGTATGATGTCCACATGAAAGCTGATCTGATGCAGCTGTTTCAGAACATGTCTGTGGGACTGGACAATGACACTACTAACACAACTTACCTTATGTTCAAATTCCTTATCTCCAGTAAATTTTATGTAACGGATCCATACATGGAGGTATTTAAAGTGCTTAGAATTTACCAATTTAGCATTCTGGATTTCTATGATGGATTCAGGTTTGGTGCCATTACTATTTTCATTTCAATTCCAGAAATAACATAAAACAGTGATTCTCAACCTTTTTTACCCAATGCTCCCTTCACCATAAGCTAGAATGCCATCCCCACCTTTTCCAAGATGGTCCGATTCAAAAGATGCATTCCAAATAATATGAATATATTATTGAAAATCTTCATTCTTTTCTGTACATATACATTTACATGGATTATTTTTATACAGGAGTTTTACAAATTCAATAGCAACAGAAAATGTTGATTGATTTTTAAACCTGAATACATGTACAGAAATTTGTTTTAATTCATAATTAATTATTAAATAAATAAACTGAAGCATATTTCAATAAAGAAAACATTCAATAGAATGCCAAGGTCGATCGGAATTCAATAAACAAAATTCTGTAAATAAAAATCAAGAAAATGTAAAAGATTCCCTGTTCACCTGAAATCACTCCTGGGGGAGTTCCTCCTGATTGAAAACTCCCAACATAAGATATTTCTCTCTCTCACACACACTTTTTAATGACAAAAAGAAAAATGTCAAAATAAAACTGACATAAATCAAAGGGATGTACCTTATTGCAGGAAAAGGCTTTCTCATAATCAACTTGTTGTTGTGCAATTTAAATACTGACAAATATTCTTCTCCATACATCTTATTCAAAACCAAAGCAAATTTACTGCCAACACCCAACAAAAGTTGAACGCAAAGCACACTGTGTGGAAGTTTATGATGCTTAATGAGTGTCAGGTTGTGGTCGAGACGGTATGTATTGATAAATCCATGTTTACCATCATCAGACATGAAACAGATCCTCATGAGATGAGTGCCTTTAAAAAGTAAATGAGGGACAATCTGATGGTCTGGGTGATGGACAAGCTGGACTTGACTGACTTGATGGTCAAATGACATTTCCCATATGCAACAGATTTTTTTATCTGCACTGACCAATGTGTAAGGATGGTTTGGGCCATGTGAGAGTACTTTCACTTTGACCACCCAACCTTTGTGGTGACCGGCCAATGTTGCCAGCAACTGTGCTGAAGATATATCCCAAACTTTCATTGTTAAATCTGCAGAGCCACTGACAAGAATTGACAGTTCCAGGCAGATGTCAATGCTGAAAACGGCAGACACATGACCAATGTAGCGTTTGTGAAAACCCTGAGGGATTTGCCAACTTTCTGCTGACCCGTCAAACGAAGAGGTGTAGATGAAATTGTTCTCTAGTCTGACATCACTCACAGTCTGGGTATGAAGTGTGAAGCCACATTCCTCTGTATGACAGTCCCATACTTTGACTGTGTGGTCATCAGAACCTATAGGAAGAGAAGAGAAACACTGACATAAATTATAAGGCATGATGAACAAGAAGAAAGGTGCATACTTAGGTAATAACATTAGTAAAAAGATACACTCTTTTAAAAAGATGTTCAGCTATAGCCATTACTATTATGTTCAGATCCATTTTTGCAAATGTAAGGAGAAAATTTTTATGGTAAATTGACCATTACACCTTTTGTAGACTTCACGTACAATGATAAAACCAGAATTATCAAAAATCCTTTCACATAAAAGCATTTTTTAAATCATATTACTCCAAGCAAAACAAAAGCCACTAGGAAGCAAGGGGTTACTAATGCAAGTTCCACTTGAGCAGTTTCTTCCCACAAACCACTAGCTTGTGTAATCAACTCCCAAGAGGTTGCTTCCCCAATCATTACAATCATAACCTGTTCAAATCTAGAGTTAACCATTATCTTCCAAACATATCTGTGTAAGCTATGCCTCTTATTCTGTAATTCTCTAACAGGCCTTGTACAGGGATGAACATCATTGGAAAAAAAAAAAAAAAAAAAAAAAAAAAAAAAGATTGGTATTGCATTTAAATCTTTGAAGATCATAGTTGAAAGGAAAGCAGGAGGCTAGAATGAGTTTCTCAAGGAAGAAGCACAAAGGCAAACTATTAGCACAGAAATTATGTTTACAACTAGCAATTTCAACAGTGAAATTGTGAAACTTAACTGCTAATCTAGTACTGCACTTAAATTTGTGAAAAGTCATCAGAACAATTGCTGTGAAAATATTTATAGAAAAGGCAAAGAGAAGCTACATTATGACAGTGGGAAAGTGACTGAAGCTGAGATGCAAGGTCAGGACTAATAATGTTGAAGATTCTTTGAATTTTGTCAAGAATCTCTGGATATAAAACATAAGCAGCAGATCAGATGTGGCAGCAGTATTCGAGGCATGGACAAATATGTGCAAGATATATTTTGGCAAGAAAAATTGCCAAGTGAAGCAACTTTCCTAGCAGCAGATTAGCAATAGAATCAATATAATAAAACATTTTACATAGAGTGAACTCTACTGAAACTAAATACTAATGATCCAAAGTCCAACTTTTTTCCAAAATAGAATTTAATAATTAGAACCAAAACATTGATGCAAATAAAAATATTACAAATATTTACTTTTAGATTATTATTATTACACAACATTAAGAGAAGAGCGCGACTTGAGAAAAGAAAAAACAATATTTGATAATGTTAAACAATATTTCAACAGTATGTCTGTCTTCAAGTTATATTTAAAATTCCAAGATGAACAAGGCCACCTTCATATTAAGCATGTTTCAGTTGCATGTCGTCACAGTGGCAGCGTTTCATTTGTTTTGGCATGCTGATTACCAGTACAGCAATCTTTTCATTACAAGACAATCAACGTTTGTACAAAGACTTATAATTTTTTGTAGATTTATATATTTTTTTTACTTAAAAATTTTAAAAAATATAACTTGAAGATAGACATATTGTCTTCATATTGTTTAACACAGTTTTTTCTTTCCTTTTTTTAAAATCACACTTCTCTTGAAAGAGTTATGTCAATCATTTTGTTTAATATTATTATTATTATTTATGCTGTTTAAGTTTAGTTTTATATGAAATCATAAGAGAATGGCTCTTATTAAAGACTAAACTCTAAAGACTAAAGTTATCAGTCTATGACACTTGCTTGTTAATCGTTGCTCTGATGTGGTGACCAAGATTCATCATTAACTTATAAAATCTTATTTGTGGGGTTAGGGACCTTGTCTTTCAGTTTGTGAGTGTAAGGAGTTCGATCCTCACTAGGGATCCTCACATTTGTGGCTTTGTGCAAAGCTATTTTTAGTAAATACCAAAGATTTATTTTTTTTAATTTATTTTTAAATTGTGGGCAGAGGGTGAGGAGCAAATAAAAACATTGAAAATTAGGAAAATAGTTTGAAGGTGGATGAAAAGGTTCATGGCCTGAGACTTATTTTGTAGCTGAATTTTGATTTGAAATTTTCCCTGTATAATGCTCAATCTATGTGATTATTTATAACTGAATTAAGTACCTTTACAAGAGATCTTGTTGAAAAATAATTTATGTAAAAATCAATAGTATCTACATGTATGAGACAATGTTATAAAGAAAAAGTTTATTTTTTGTCAACCCTAAAGTACTCTAATAAGTAGCTAATATCAGTCTATCCCTTATACATGTACACTCGTTTAGATATTCAACATTTAAATGTAGTTCAATGCAAACTTGTGAAAAGACTGGTTGTATTTTGTGTGCTTGGGATCACCCTGAAAATGGAGAATCAAAATGAACATTATCAACACCTCATGCTTTTTATTTAAAAGAAGCCAGAAAGCAGTGGAAACCTGAAGGAAGATATGTGGTGTGTATGGAATAAGTCCATCAGAAGTGGTTTTTAAGATCACTCTGGTCAGCCAACTGACATTAACAGTGACAAAATGAAAGAGTTGATACCAACCTCCATTATATGACCGGGATGATTGTAGATATTCTCTAAATATCCAAATTAAATGGTGAAAACCATTTGCATCAACTTGGATACCTCAGCAGGCTAGATGTTTGGCCCCACTTCAATTGAATGAGGTTAACTTCACCCAACTTATTTCAATCTGTGATCCTTTGTTTGAATAGAATGGTGACAGGGGACAAAAAAATGGATTGTCTCTAACAATGCAAAGTGCCTATGATCATTGGGGTGGGGGGAGCATCGTGAACCACCACAAGCAGCCTCCAAAGCAAGACTTTACCTAAAGATTATGATTTCAATTGGGTGGAAGGGGGGTTATCTTTCACAAGCTTCTTCCCACAGACTGGACCATCAATTCAGATGTATACTGTGACCAGTTGGACAAATTAAATACAGCAATCCACCAGAATTATCCAGCATTTGCTAATCATAAGGGGATTGTTTTATCAAATCAATGCCAGACTGCACACTTCTTTGTAGATGCAGAAGTTACTTCAGCTTAGCTGGGAAATTTTGCTGCACCCTCCATATTAGTCCAAACCTGTTTTGTGTTCTTCAACTCTAAAGAGGATGTAAAAAAATTGACTGGAAGAGATTTTTGGCAGTAAAGACAGGAAATTCTTTAAGTAGAGACTAATGGATCTGCCCACAAGATGGCAGAAGATACTGGAATGAAACAGTAATTATATCACTGATTGAATAAATGGCTTTGTATTTAAAAATTGTGTCTTATTTTCATGTAAGAAACATGAATAGAGATTTTGGCCAAATCAAAAATATATATAAGTGGATACTGATCTCAACAACAATTGGTGACAGTCTGTTTCATGCTTGAATGCAATCTTCAGGTCTGAGAAGAGTGCAGCGAAGCATGAAACAGGCTGTCGCCACTCAGTGTTGAAGTCAATATCCGCTTTTATATTTATGTAGTCTATGGCTGATATTGAACACTTTTAACCATAAATATAACATACCATAAAAAAAACTATAAAGTTTTTAAAGTTTTTGACAACTGGAAAACGTTCATGAAAGTAAATTTGTTTCAAAATATATCCAATAATGCATTTCATCATTTAATACTTCATCAGATCTGAAAGCAAAAAAATTAAATGAATTTATGTGCAGGGATAAGTTTAGCCTAAGATAATGCACTGTAGCAATGATTAATAGCACCATGGCAATTTTTTAGAATTTGCAAAATTTACGATTTTTTAAATTTGTAAAGAGTAATATTAACGTAAAAATTGATAAAAGTAAACAAAAAGCTTTTTAAAATCAAATATTTTTATTAACAAATAACATAGATTATGATGACTAGAATTATTACATTGCAGCGGAACATTTTCAAAAAAAAAAAAAAAATCAAACATTAGCTTAGAATGTTATGGAAAGAACGAGATAATTGTATTACTGTATAAAAATATAAAGCTTTCTCAGCATAAAATCAAAATATCAATTTACACAAAAAAAATATGTACAGTAAATGTCAAAACGATCCTTTACTTTCTGACATGAATATTAATTAGTAATTTCTTATAGATAAAAATATATCCATGACTAATTTTTGTTGCCTAGCATTCAGAAGAACTTCCTCTACTAGGGCAATTTGTCAGAATCGAAAAACTTTAATTTTATTATTTTAGATGAGTGTGTGTGCGTGCCTTGTTTAAATACAACGCCAAACTGGTCTCTGACTTTTTGACATGCATGTAGTTTCCTTTCCTTTTTGAAGGGGACCAGTCTATTTAAGTATTGCCGTTTTAAAATGAACTGCATTATTACTATGAAATGTGTGTGTGTGTGTGTGTGTGTGTGTGTGTGTGTATATATATATACACACATACATATGATGTTCATTTCATTTCCGGTAGACATAAATGCTGCAAGATTGAAATAAACTTGTAACATTTGCTGAAATTCCTTTCATCTACCTTTTCTTTGAAAATATATTTGCATAGGGCTCTAGTCAAATTTTTCCTTGGAAAATCCTCAGAAAAACTTACCAATTTTCAGTTTTAATTTAAAAAAAGAAATTGACGTGGCTTGTTTTTTTTTTTAAAGGGCACCTCATCATTACATTAAATATTAACACTGCAGCATTTTGCTGTGGTGCCACAGTCTAAACTCATCCCTGTGTGTATTTGTGTATGTTTAAATAATGTAAAGAAAAAATTCATTATTTAAACATATACAAATACACATATTTCATTTTTCCGCCTTTGGATCTGATGAAGCCTTAAGGTGAAATACATTTTGAAACAAATCTACCCTCATAATTGTCAAATAAATGTGTGTATATATATATATATATATATATATATATATATATATATATATATATTATAAAGCAATTTCTTATAAAATTGTTATGTATTTCTTTTAGTGAAAACAAAAAAAAACAAAAAATCAAACAAAACCAAAAAAAAAAATCAGCTAACCTGTGACAATTTTGCCATCATGGTAGTGAATCGCCATCACTCGGCTGTGATGTCCAGTAAGCAATGTATCCACAAATGCTTGTCCAGCTTTTAATGGTTCCACCTGTAAAGCCGACACTTTTAAAAACAATCTCTTGTAGTATGCAGCATCTCTTGAGCTATGCAAATCAATAATACCGAGGTGTAGACACTGAAGTTGCCAGACTTCTGACAATGAGTTGACCAAATTGTGCCAGTGTTTACTGACAAGAGAACAATTGAACAAAGAACTGATGTCCAGATATTGCAGAATTACGGTGGAAATTTCCACAGGAAGCATTCTCAGAAAATCTCGATAGAGCAAAGATGGTAATATGCAAGTCAAGTATGTGAGTTGGGCTGGACTGCAGACATTGAGAAGGTAACTCAACGTGTGGTTTCTTTGTTCATCAGTCAGATGTTGAAAATGTGTACTGACAGCCTGCAACCATTCTTGGAAATCAGCCATTTCTTTGCTTTTTATTGCTCTTCCTGCATAACTTGATTAAAGCAGAAGTGAATGAGGTTCTGACTTCTTTCTCTAAAAGAAAAAAGATTTAATTAAAATCTTCAGTTTAAGCATGTTTTGCAGAAGTATTGAACTCTTTAAAGTAAAATGTAAAAAGAAGCATTAAACGAAAAAGAAAAGCAAATTGTTATCCTAGTTATTTTTTTTTAATGTCATGTCTATTCAGGATTTAGGCAGTCATGACTTGGATCTTTAAGTATGTGTACTGTTGTGCATTTTTGGAAAATATAGTGGAGTAATTTCCTGCCTGTGTTTTCTCCACGTTTTCCTTCTCTCAGCTTTGCCATCAAAGGCTAAAGAACCCAATCTACTTGAGAGTTAATACACAGCTGGGGGACAGAGAGAAGAGATAGATTTCAAAAAGGTATTTGTATGAAAGTGAATGCAGGCGACTGGCTTAAAATTTGAACTAGTCTGTTGCATTTACTAGTATAGTACCCATTGAAAATAAATAAAATTATACTATGTACAGATTGACAGTTTTGCCTCAGAACAAAGCACGTATGCACTACACACACCGTCATTTAAACAAAGATGTATCCAACAAATATAAAAGCATGAGATGCCTTGGGGATTGAAGATTTTATGAACTAAAAAAAAAAAAAAAAAAATGTAGCATTAAGCTTTGACTACTTGATAACATTTTCTATGCCTAGTTATAAAATTAGGGAAAGAATAGAATTAATTCCAAAGACAAAATAAACAGAAAAAAGTGATAGCTGAAATTAATCATCGTGAAAGATGTCCATGTCAAAAATTGGATTTTTCTATAAAATTTGATAATTAAAAAATTGATACTACAAGTGAGGAGGAGCATGAAAAGAAAGCGGACTTGAAAATTTGATAAGCAAATTAATACCTTATTTATAGTTTCGGAATAATAAGCGTAAAGAATGAAACAACTATTCTTGATACGGTAACCAATAAATTGTTAGTTAACTGATGTTGCCCCAATGAATTGTAAATAAAAAATATCAAGCTGAAGTAATTTCAAAGACTAATCCAAGGGAGATCACTCCAATTGTTTTCTTTTATGCAAAAAATTCTTCGAAGATTTTCTTTTCAGTAATTAAAAATCCGAATAAGATATTTTGATTTTCTGTTGTTTTCCGAGTATTCGCTAGTTTAATTTTGAATTTGTTAAATTAAAGTATTATGTATTTGTAGAAAAAAAGGGTCATACGAATAGGAGATTTACATTTAAGATTTTCAGATGACATTTTTCAGTTTTATTTACAATAGATCACAGAACAGAACATTACAATGTTCTGTTATTAAAAAAAAAGCTCTTTAGAGTTTGTTTTATACAGCTCTCGGCGATTTTAAATGCTCTAAACGGACACTAGTAAAGAAAGAATAAAGACCATCTTAAAAATAAAATATTTGAGAATAAAAACGAGATTATCCATTTGGTCTTTTAAAAAAATTAATTAAAAATATTCGACTACTTACTTGCACTTAATAAGACAAGTATTTTATTTTATAAAAGAAAAAAAATTGATGAAATGAAAAAATCATTTATGACTAAAAAACTAAAACATTGTTTTCAATTCAATTCGAAAGGAGTAAAAAAAAAAAAAATTGAATGTCTTTAAAAAGAAACTTTAATTTTTAGTTGAAACGAGTTCACCAAAAGAAAAAAATAAGATTTTACAAACACTAGATTGTATCGCCAATTTTCGAGTATTATCAACTTTAATCGAATCAAATGTCTCATTTTTACCCACGTCATTTTGTAAAGCAAGTACTCAATAATTTTTTTTTCAATGAATGGAGAAAGAATGATTAAAGAAAAGTTAAGAAAAAAGGAATAATCAAGTTTTTTTTAAAGAATCAGTTAAATAAATATTTTCTTTTTAAGTTAAAATAAAAAGGCAGAGGGGAAAATATTCTTTTTTACAGAAATTCATTTTTTTTAATTGTCGTAAGTACGTAAAATGAACGAATAAAAATAAAATACTTCCTTTTAGCAAACCGTAAGTTATTTTTTGTAGTAATAAACTTAGACTTTAGCAGAAAATTTTTCAACTTTTTGAAAAGAATAAAAATAAAATTTTTATTTTTGTCAGAAAAGGTAAATAAATTCAAACTTAAGGCCGTGATTCAAATTACTTACCATCTCAGATGACGTTATTATTATTTTTTAAGCAATTCCACTTATTGTTTTCTTAAAAGCCATTGTTTTCAAAGTTGAAATGTCCATAATTATAAACTTTTCTATCATCACTTTTTTTTATCAAGAAAAATTCATTAAGTTCATCTTTCGTTCATGGTGTTTGTGAATTCAAATAACTTACAAAAATGTGTAAAATAAAATTAATGAAGATCAACAGAAAAAAGTACGCATTATTATTTAGTAATAATTGATGGATTATCAAAATGAAATTAGGTTTTTTGATAAATACTAATCTTTTTGGTGCAAAACTTGCAAATTTATCTGATTCTGCTGCTTGCAATAATTTTATTTTCCGGTGTTGCAGATCAAGTGTTCCTTATAAATAAACATCCATACTGTTACATGGAGTAGAGATTTATAAATTTAAGTCAATGCGAATTTTTCTTTGACCTACTGTGTCCCATCGGGACAGGCGATCATAGCCCTCCACCTCTTCAACTACCTTTGTAGCTCTTAATAAGTTTTGTTTTTTTGTTATTTCTCCCAGACCCTGTTCTGCTCAAGCCCATTAAGTCACGCGTTGCTTTCCCATGACTCTCTTTTCCTCTATCCGACCTGTGAGTATCAGATTCTCTAAGCCTTCTTTCCTCACTACATGTTCCATAAATTTCAACTGTCCTTCCTGATGTTAAGTATAAGTTTCCTCTTTCTTTCCATTCTCTCCAAAATCTCGTCGTTGCTCGCATATTTGGCCAAAGGTATCCTTATCATCCCTCCGCAGAACAACATTTCTTTTGCTTCGAGTCTCTTCTTCATCTTTGAGGAGAATGTCCAGCATTCGCCGCCATATAGGACAGATATCACCTAGCAGTACAGTACTCTTTTCTTTGTTTCCAACGAAACTTTCCTGTCTATTAGTATTCTTGTAGCAGATCGTGGGTTTCCGTGTTGTTAAATTAGGAACACGTGTGTAACTCCTAATAGAATATTAAAAGGTCTACTACAAGAATATGGCGGACTCAAGTTGTGTCCAACCGAAGATGTAAAGAAAACCAACAAGACCGATATATATATATATATATATATATATATATATATATATATATATATATATATATATATATATATCAACAAATATATGTATTAAACAACACAATTTTACAATGAACATAGACATTAACAATTGTGTTTGTGTGTGAACGTAAAGAGTTTATATTTTGGTGAATGTTCGTACGTACGTGTATGTGTGTATAATGTTCACGGCGTCTCCCACAAATGGGAAGACGCAATCTTCTGCGAGAGCTTACATTGTAGATGTGTTCGCTGAAATGCAAAGTAAAAAGAGAACGAGGCAAGAAATCGCCCAGTGTTTATAGTATAGGGAGAGCGCGCCTTCGTGAACAATTTGGACAATTAAGGAGGAGTTAACTCCGACATTCTGCTTAATTTTTTGAATGCATCTATGACCATCCCAATACGTCTTCGGATCTCAGTGTCACTCTTTCTATCCTCTGATGTTAAGTATAAGACTTATATAACACTTCCCAGATATTTAAGTTTCTGTACCTGTTTGATTTTAGCATCCCCGACATTTAATTTGCATTTTTGCTGAGGACCATGCATTCTATCTTATTGTAGTTTATGCTTAGTCCTTTCCTCTTGCTCTCCTTCTGTAGAAGGTTTTGTAGTTTCCTTTCCGTGTCTTCTATCATCACTGTGTCATCTGTATATTTTATATTGTTAAGATTGTGGCTGCCAATGATGAATCCTGAGAGGATTTCTAGTTCTCTCAGAATCAACTCACTCTATAGGTTGTATAAATCCGGTGAGAAGATACACCCTTGTCTTACATCCCTTTCTAATTTTGTATATCTGCTGAACTAATTTTTTATCCGTATACCAGCGGTTTGCTGCCAGTAGAGATTCTTGATTATTCAAATGTCTTTTTCAAATATGTCAAGGTTGCTGAGCAACTGTAACAGATCTTAGTGGCGTACTTTGTCGAACGCTCTTGATTTCTTTATTTCCAAATAAAGGACGCTTGGCTCGGTGTCATGAAAAAACTTTCAAACTCGCTTCGTAAACAAATTTGGAGTGTTCTATTCTCAGTATTCCACTACTTACTACTTTAGCATTCCTGTGTCAGACTCTATGCTAAATTTACTAATTTGAATTATCTAACTAGGTATTCGGAAGCCAGTGAAATTTCATTTTCGCATAAAATACGCTCAGTTTGAAAAAAAAAAAAAAAAAACAAATAAGAAAGATTAGACGAAAATACAAGCTTAAGCAGGGCGGTAACCAAATTTTAACAGCGGTAACGGCTTTAGGTAAGTTGATTAGTTGTTTTTGTTCAGCGCCATATCAACCACTATGGGTTATTTAAAGCCAAAATCTAAATATTATGTACACAATAAGATAATAATGGTTTTAGTGATATAAGTCTTGTTAAATAACCCATAGCTGGGGGGAACAAGAAATGAATCCATACCTTTCCCAAGAGTATTTGCGTGTAAATGAATATAACGAACCCAACTGGAATTAGAACTCGGCTCTTCGATTAACAATTTCATATTATTATTCATTATACCACCCATACATCGAAACTTACAGCATCTGATATTCCCAAGCGATTACCCACATAGGTACTAACCAGTCTCAACGTTGCTTAAGTTTGGTGATCGTACAGGAACCGGCATTTCAACGTGTGTGGTCGTAAGCCTTTGATTAGTGATTCAATCTCTGAAAGTATTTGGCCATATTATATCTGCTCTGAATACGTCGTCATATGTAAGCTGTGTTTTCTTAACTTTTGAAATCACTAACTTAAAATGTATTTTTGAATTTTCTAATTATTATTATTATTATTATTATTTCCTTGGGTTTTTGTTGTATACACATTTCCTTCCGGGTCCCAACCAAAGACCTAAGGTCAGAGATGGCATCATGACATCTTCCACTGATGATTTTTGTAACAAAAAACAAAACTATGATCACACACATTTTACATAGATAAAACTCTTCGGAATGTGTGAGTTGTACCTGTGAGTAGAATTTTTTGAATTTCTTTAAGGCAGGGTTAACAGGAATTCTTTCAATGCGTCTATCGGAACCTTTTCCAATCCAATTGCGCCAACTTACAACTGGAATTACTGATGTCCTCATGTGACACACTTTTTTTAAAATTTCCATTTCAAGATCCTTGTATTTTGATAGTTTTTTTGAAGATCTTCAAAGATACATTACAATTTGCAGGGATTGCCATGTCAATAAGAAAACACATTCTGTTCTTGTGGTCTTTGATCGCAATGTCTGGGCAATTACCTTTGATTGTTCTGTCTCTGTGTATTGTAAAGATCCATAAAATTGTTACAGTTCTTATTTCTGTAACCGGGTCCGGTTGATGTTCATACAAGTTTATTGCAGTTTCCTGCCCGTAAAAGTTGCATGTTTTCCAGTGGTCCATTTCACGATGCTGAGTTTTATATTCTGTGGGTGCAACCTGATACAAGATGGTCAATTATTCTTGGATATTTATCACAGCATCTGCATTTGGAGTCAAGACCATTTTTCAGAATGTGTGCTTGGTAATTTCTAATTAGCAAGCATTGGTCTTGTGCAGCAAGAATAAAACTTTCAGTTTCAGCTTTTAATCATGCACTACGTAATCACTGATGGGGGAGAGGTTTGTCTACATCAGCTTGTTTGTTACGGGCAGAGTATTGACCATGAAGAGGTTTATATTGCCATCATTTCTGCATTTGATACATTGTATTTGCTTTCTTTTTTAGAAATGATTGATTTGTTGTTCATGATGACGGTCGTCTTTGAGTATAGAATCCAGAGGTTAGAAGTGAATATTTTGAAAACAGTAGGAAAGCGTTGTTCAGGTTAGCAGTGGATATTATGGTAAAAGTAGTAGAGCGTAGTTCGTCCTTTTGTTTCTCTTCGCCTGACAAGCTGGCACTGGACATTCGGGTAGAGTAGACAAAATGGCCGCCTTTATACACGACGGATTGAATATTCTACGTCTTCTGATTGGTTAACCTTCTATTGGTGGACTATAAAGTGAGTCAAGTCATTTTGGGCTAACTCACTAGTATATATACACAAAAAACTGCAACATGATTTGATTCAGTTTAATTACTTTTATTGTAAATATAGAGGGTAATATCACAAAATCCAGTCTCTTAATGTCAGTTGTGGTCCAATTTAAGGTGCTGAAACTGTATTGTACCACAGGGACAGCAAAAGTGTTTATGGCTGATATTCTGTTTTGTGAATCCGATTCGGTATTTAACATCAAACCGAATTTTAAGTTAAAAGAAGGCATTTAAAATGCCTTTTCGGGCTATTTTTGCAAAGTCCTGTGGCGATACCTAATAATTTCAAGTGTTAAAGAATTCAGAGTGAAAATTATTTATTTAAAAGTGGGAACTAGAACGATTTGAATAACTTTTTAAGTATGTTTATGCGACCAAGCATGCATTCTCAATTAAATGCTTGAATAACAAATCTATATAATTTTATTTTGTAAATAAATTTTACAATGTAATCAAAATGGTCCATTATTTTTAATTTTTAAATCATTTTATCCATACATCGCGCGTTTTTTTTTGTTTTTTTTACATACATTTTAAGATGAGATATTTTTAAAGCATTCGGTGATATTGCAAGCGTGTCTAATCTGGAAGACAGGTTACGTTAATGTCGCTCAAAAAGGTCGTTTGTTTTGACCTCTTAAACCGAGTTTTATTTTCAGCATTCAGTTGCTTTTGTTAATTATATTGTTGTTGGTATTGTTAAAGAATTATCCTATTTTGGCAGGAAACGAGTAAAGGAAGATTGTGTTGCGCTCATCTAACAAGTCGAGTTTCTCTGTCATGGAAATCAGCACATGAAAATCTAACTTTTTTCAGACTCGAACACTTTTCACCTCTGTAACATGAAAGAAAAAGAGGAAAAAAAAATCATAATTTTAACTTAGTAAGGCCCAAGCTCCTCACTCGCATACACACACAAAACGGGTTGAGGAAGATAATTTTTCCAAATGAGGAAGGCTTTCAACCTTATCCCTAAACCAAAAAAAAAAAAAAAAAAAAATCATTTGAAATCCTGTTGTTGGATACAAAGGTCATTATCTGTCATTACATATGAAGTGACACGTGACAATCCTACATGAACAGAAAATAAATCCATTCAGACACTTAATTCCCGAATGGCAAACTACACGAACTTCCATTTCCTTATTTTTAATGGTTTGAGAGATACCAGTACAGCATGACTGTATCTGGTGAAATACATTGATACATTAACGTTACGCATTGGTCGAAAAAAGTTAAATATTTATTTTCGAAGTATGAATTTATTAACCCGAAGTATGCACATTCCATTGACTCAGAAACTGTTTTTTTCTGTCATTTGTGTTTGACTGTCTTGGTGTTTATTTCCGTCTTCACTCCACTCATCCACGAGTTTAGTAGCCCGGTCTTACAATTAGTGTAAGCTTGATGGCACGTATATGTATCTAGGGTTCCAAAAAAGGGATAATCAGTAGAGGACAGGTACAATTAATAGAGAGGCTGAGACAGAATCTGGACACCAGATTGCATCCATGTTTACTGGGTGATATGGGAAATACGCGGACTTGTGTTCTTCAGTAGTAAGATAGAACCATTTCTTTATTCACTGCTGCGGGCCAAAATGTTTGAAACTTTTGACGCCATCCGCTCCAGATCATAACGATAGAACTCTGCTGCAATGGCCAGATTGTAAATCGCTGGCACAATGGCGCTATAATAGATTACTTCATTACAGAACCACCAGAAAGATTTCTTTTTGGCGGGATGTAAAGAATCGATTTTGGTAAGGCTGAAGTGGGAACAAGTTCGTCAACGAAAAGAGAGCGATGTTTCCAATTATAATAATGAAATTAATTTTTATTGACAGTAAGCATATGTGGTGAGTATGTAATAATAAAAACCCCACTTACTCACTCCCTTCAAATTCGGGTGAGCTGAGGAAAAAGACGGAAAGAAATTTGCGAGCATTTGTGAAATTTTCTTTGGACCAATGAAAACTTTGATTTCACAAAGATTGGGCGGCGATCTGCGAAAAAGATGAAAACAAATTCGCGAGTTTATGTGAAATTTTATTTGGACCAATGAAAACCTTGTTTTCACAGGAACTATCCGTTAAGCATAGGAAAAGAAAAGAAAGAAAATAGCGAGCCTATGCGAAATCATTTTTGAAATAAAACAAGGAAAAAATCAACAAGAGTGTCTGAAATCATATGAAAAGTTTAATTTCTGTTCATGCGTCCAGCGTTCAGATTTTCGTCAGTGTCAAATTACTTGCTAATTATATTATTGGCCTGAACGAAGCAGTTAGCACTTGAAAGAACTTTATTTCAACAATCCAAGAAAGCTAAATATTTCAAACCATCTCTTTTTGAACGTATGTATAGGAAATGATGCAATTTCTCGTCAAGCAAAGTTCGAGAAAAATCGGATCAATTCGGAACGAGTCCTAATCTGCTCGTTGATAATGTTCTGTTGGTAGGAGGTTCTTTACTGGGTGAGGAGTAGAAGGGGATGAAAACAGACACGACGATATGATCAGAGTTGCCAAGAGGGCAGAGCTGCATGGTACGAAACTCCCTTTACCCACTATCTTCAAATTCGGGCGAAGTTGAGGAAAAAGACGGAAAGAAATTCGCTGCCTGTGTGAAATTTTCTTTGGACCAATAAAAACCTTGTTTTCACAGGAATTAACCACTGAGCCTAGAAAAAAGAAAGAAAAGAAGATAGCGATTCCATACGAAATCCTTTGTAATAAGTGTGTCTAAAATCATGTGAAAAGTTTAATTTCTGTTCAAGCGGCAAGTGTTCAGATTTTCGCCAGTGTCAAATTACTCGCTAGTTATATTATTGGCCTGGACCAAACATTTAGCACTTGAAAGAACTTTATTTCAACAATCCAAGAAAGCTAAATATTTCAAACAATCTCTCTTCGTCTACTTTTGAATACATATAACATTATAACCTTTCTGTGAACTCTCTTATCTTTGTTTTAAACATTTTTGAATATTATTTTGTGTCAGGCGACTTAATCCGTTGTACGAACATTTCTTCTTTATGTTGAAACTATGGACTTTAAAAATGTCTGATTTATTTTCCTAAAACGACTTACTGACATTAATTCATACGTGTAAATTCATAAAGAAATTCTTTAACTTGTTTTGTTAAAATTACCCGTGTGTTTCCTTGTAATTATACGTCTCCATTAACCTTCTTGGTGTGGGTAAATCAATTGTTCGTTTTAACCCCCAAAAAACACACCAAATTCTTTTTGAAAAGCACCAGCGCAAATTACTATACAAGTTACTTATTATTTAAATCGTGGGATACCCACTTTTCTACTATTTGCTGATTTATGCCAAAAGTCTTCCAACTGTGACCCCTCAGTTTTGATAACTATGTCCTAATGTTTGCTTCTGGGTGATAGACTGCATACTATAGCATGAGGGTACTGTTTCCACATCTGGGCTGGGGCTGCTCAATTCTACATACACTGTATGGTAGACAGCATGCCATGGCGATAAGAATGTTTTAAACAAGAATTAAATGACTAAAGGGAGAGAAAAAGAAAAAGAAAAAAACGTACATTGAGTAAAAGTCAAAAATATAACAACAGAAGCTTTACATAAAAAATATAAT